CCCCCCCCCCCCCCCCCAAAAAAAAAAAAAACCTCTTGGCACAGAGTTTTTTCTCTATGGGAAACTAAGAAGAAAAGAGTAACTGGCAGTCAGCAGGGCGGCCGTGGCCACAAAGAAAAGGAGGAGTTTTCTCTGCTCAGGAGAAGTGAAAGTGAAATGAATCTGGAGTATTTAAAGAGGAAGTTTGGACTGTCGGGGCTGTTGGCAGAGGCGGCTGCAGAGGACGACGCGCAATCAGACGCTGGTGAGACGCTTCGCTTTTTCTATCTTTTCAACATTGGTTTAATTTGAGAGCGTTTGAATCGAGTCCCTTTCAGCTTTCTTTGTTTTTGAGGAGCACTTCTTCACTGCTCTGCTGTTTTAACACTTTGTTCTTAAATGACTTCATGTCGCCAAGTTCAGGGAATCCATTCGGCCCAGATTGATTTAAACTGCTGTAAAACTTAAAAAATAAATCCAATAAAAAAATGTAAAAAACTGGCTTTTCACCCGCTGAAGCACCAAAAAACTGAAAGTGTCCTGGTGTCTGCCATCTTACCTGTGTTTTTTCAGGCTTTCGCTCATAAAGGATTACAGGAGCTTTTAAATCAGAATATGAAATGTATTCAAATCTTCACCCAGTCCTGAGATGGAAATCTTTCCTTTAGGTTTAGCCTCAGCCGCCTCCTTACGTTTTATCACCATCAGCTCTTCCTCGTCAGCCCGACCTCTCATACCACTTTTTGTTTGCTTTCTTTTTCAGTCCGTCTCTGAAAGATAACGCACAACAGGTTTTTCAAGAAAGTGCTTCACCACGAGCTACAGGGCTATTTGTGGGTTTGATGCAGCGATAGGCCTGAAAACAAAATTAAATGTAGCCCAACTGCAGTTCCAGTGGCTCAGATGTGAACTTTTTTTCCACAGTTTCACCTTCCACAGATCAGAGGTCACTACAGCTGCACTGTCCTCTTCAATCTGCTCTGAGTGGACCAGCAGAAATCTGACAGATGTTCACATATAGGGAAACTTTAAAACAACGCCAAATGAAGGCAACCAACATCAGCTTTCCTATGAACACCGTTTGTAGCAAACCACAAAAAATACAAAAAGATTAAATTGATTTAAAACTGTTCAATTTCTGTAATAGAGCAAATCTTTCCTTTTACTGGACTTCTCAGAGTTGATGGCTGAATGCTTGGTTGACTTCAAAGGCCGCCGTTTTATGGAACGCTGTAAAATGTGAACTCTGATTCTCTTTTTCAGCCTCTGAAGCTTTGAAAGAAAAACACGTCAATTTCAATCTGATCATCAGCTAAACAATCAAATCCCAGAAACCTTGTGTGCCAAGCAGAAAACAAGGAGCTCACCTTTAAAAATCTAACAAATCTAACTTCTTCTGAGGGCCCACAGCACTGTTCAGCTGTGTGTCACATCTCAGAGTGGAAGCAGGGATCACTTCTCCCTTTTTAAACATAGTTTAGTTTAAACCGTTGGAACTCAAACATTTTTAAAGCCAACGGCAGTGACTCATTTTCTGCCACAATCTGTGGAGAGCTGAGATTCTGGCCGGCTGGTCTTCCTCATTTCTAAGCTGGTTTCTCTTTCATCTCTTTGCAGCTCTTCCTGGGTCCGGTCCTGGAGCTCCTGTCTTTTTTTGTGGGTGGGATTGTAACGGAACCCATAATGCAGCTGTGATTCTGAGCCCCAGCTGGTTATGGGGTCCGTTTCCATCCCACAGTGCACAGCACATCCCGATCCGACTGCCGGTCAGGCAGCAGGGTGACCAGACGGCTCTGACTGGAGCTCACCAGCTGCCCTTCAAAGACAGATCCTGAAAGAAGGTGAAAACAAGCAGGGTGGCGCTTTGCTGCTGCTGTGCTGATGGTGAGGTGTTTTTCCTCAATGACACGTTTTCTCCCGGATTGCTGAAAATATTATTATGCAACCGGGAATTTCGTGTCAGCCACGAATGACACCGGCGGCCCCGCTGGAGGAGCCACACCGAAGGGCCCCGCTGCAGGAACCACGTCGGGCCGGCAGTGCCGCTTTGGACGGGTTTAGAGGAGCAACCTTCACTTTTTGAAACCGTCTATTCTTGTAATGCAAATAAACTTCCATCTACAAACCTGCTTTTCCCTGATTACAGCGAGACAGTGCGACGCTTGCCGTGTGACACAAATTAGTTTTAAAGAGCACCTGTGCGCAGCAGTAAGTAGCGATTTACAGCACTTTCCCCGTGGGAGCAAAAGCAAAGTGGATTTCCATCCTTGAACAAAAGGAATGAGCTGAAGATGAAAGCTGCTTCTGTATTCTGGCCGGCAGACTATGGTCACACGGCAACTTCTGATTTTCAACCTCATGTCACACAGACCTGCTTCACTAAAACAGCTTCAGAGAGATCAATGAAAAAGACCAATTAGTATCCACACTGTGGGATAGGTACATTTTAATAATTTCCAGAAACGTGAAACTCTCGAGCAATAGCAAGGTATTTCTATCTTTTAAGGGAAAAAAAAATCCAAATTCTACCTTTTTTCCCAGAAAGATGCAGGACCTGCAGCCAAATGCTGTTTGGAGAAAATAATCTTTACATACAACATATCATTGATTAAAAAAAATTTTAAAAAATTTCCACAATACAGAAAACATTTAATCTATCTTTTTTAAAACGACATTACTATAAATGAAAAAGACAAACAAACAATGAACTATAAATGCAAGTGCCTTTTTCTCTCTTCGGGGCCACGGTGCAAAGTGTAGCTAAAAAGTGAACAGTTTATCCTTGTTCAACCATCAGGGGGGAAAAAAAAAAGAGAGTCCTCTGATCATTTATCTGGTAATAAAAGTTGTAGCTGGAGATGTGATGTTATAGTCAATTTAAATATAATACATATAGATGTTTAACAGCCATGTCATTTAATAATTAAAAAAAATTATTTGATGATCCGCTCCATATGATATGATCCAAGATCTTTCCATGGCCGATGTATAAAACTGCAACACCACAAAACATGCTTTCATCCTTTGTAAAATAATCCAGTTTTAAACAATGTTTTTCACCTTATCCGGTGGAAAGTAATTGGCCACAAAAGGGAAAACTGACCTCTGCTATTTGCAGCTGTATTGATAGAAATAACTGCACACGGCCTCTGTTCTGGATTCATCTCCGATTAATATTCTACCAAGTTAGTTGAAGACTGTATGATGAAAGATCGCTTATTTTCAATTTAAAGTCAAATCAATGCAGTTCAATATATCTGAATATAAATCCCTGTGTTTGTACTCTAATTTAATCAAATAAATCTAAATTTAGTAAGAGAACAAATGCATTCATATTAGTTACTACAGCTCAAGTAATTTTATTTAAATCTGCTTTCCCAATTGTTCCCCAATGAAGATGATAATTACTGTGAGAATTAAGATATCTAGAAAGAAATTACCAACAGAAATATTTGGCAAACTACCAGTAATTGCGATCAGTGTTGGTATAAACCTGCCAGCATGTAAATTTACTACATTAGGACTAAACACTAGTATGATGTTATAAAAGAGTGTTTTCAAATATACCAAAGTGCACTGTGAGACAAATTTATGCGGAAGCGGTTCAGTAAGGTGTCCACTTACTTTTGACTATTGTAGTTACTGCGCATCTCAACTGGGTGGCGCAACAGTAGTCCGACATGAAGATGTGTCTCGGAAGAAACACTGCTCTCATGTCATTAGTTCCGCAGAGAGTAAACAGCCAGTGCGGTCCCTGTTTACAGCCAATATCAGACATCGACTACTGATCGGTACGGCTGGAATACAGCGAGGCCAGCGCAGCCTGCACCAGCCCAACCAACTTGACGACGTTTCCACAGATGATATGACCACGGTGTGAATGTGTTCTTACGCTGTCGCTAGCTCACCTGTTTATGCTGTGGCGGTGATGGAGAACACCGAGCTGCTCTCGCCCCTTCGGATCACCGCTACCGTGCGAGCGCTCAGCTCTGCGCTGCGAGGGAAGCATGAAATTGTCCATGGCTCTGGCCAAGGAAACGGCGACAAGGTCTTTCCCGAACCGGAGAAACTGTGGTTCAAGGAGAGCAGCGCAAAAAACCTGCGTAACAGGGACTTCTTGTCGCCTACCACGATGCTGAACACGCTGTTTGCGGACGGACAGGTTCGTGTGACTGAGACCTTCAAGGTTTATGGGGCATTTAAATGCTTGCATGCTAACTCTTCGGTTTCCCATAAAACATATTTTCAAACTAACACTAGTTTCCTAATAGAAACCTGGAGAATAAATTAAGAGTCAAGCTAAATGTAACCATTAACTACATTCTACAGCGTGAAAGACGTACATCCACTTTCTCCTTAGACATAATTAGCACGTGGAGTTGTTAGGCAAAAATCTCAACGTTAATTCCTCCGCTAAGCAATATAGTTCCACGTCAGGTATACACGAATAACACATTTTGTTAAGCGCAGTAATACCACGACCAAAGGTGTTTCAAATTGCAAGGGACAACAGCCAATCAAAAGGGACGACCGGGAGTATTTACTTTATACTGTCCAGCTGGTTCAGCCAGCATGGTAAAGAAAAACCTGTCCAAAGTTAATGACCTATGTCTATCTGTTAAAGGACACATATAATGTCTGTATGTGTCCCTTTAAATGTCAATGAAACGGACATAATGGCTACATGGATCAGAGGACGGTGAATTTGCTCCATCATGATCGACTAGACAGTAACAGCCTGCAGCTGTAATTATTAACCCATGTGTGACACATTGTGGGTCAAATGCACATAAAACCTGTGCCCCCCCCTTTTTTTTTTTAGAAAGTTGGTCACATAGCCATTTTACCATCTGCGTATTTGAAGTCCCACTTCATTACTGAGTGTGCATATACATCACATCATGAGAAGATTGAGTACACATCTGTGGTGTTTATGCAGTAGACACACGTTTTTTAGCAAGACTATAAGCACATACATTCAGTCAGCATCTTGCTTCTGAAAACTGCCAATATATTAAAACTAATGTAATTACATGTTTTTTCTCATCACATACTGACTGATGCTCACATTAATCCATAATTGTTTAATCTTACCAGGTCCCTCCTGCAGTGATGTCTAGGGTCCTTTCCCTTCATGGCAGTGGGGTGCTGCCTGTGGCGGGTGGGGAGGTGATGGGGGAAGGTTTAAGGCTGCGGGTGGACCGGGCTGCAGCGTTCAGGGCCGTCCTGGAAGGAGGATCCACGGAGTACTTAAAGCCCTCATGTCAGAGGGAAGGTTGTGTCGTTCTCAACTGTCCTGCATTGCACCCGAAACCCAGCACACCCAGTCCTGACACACTGAGCCTGGGCCAGCTGAGGACTGTTCTGTTGGCTGACCACATGGGGGCGCTGCTGAGAAGACAGGGGTGAGTCTGAGTAAATTGCAGCGTAAGACCAAGTGCTTGTCAATGTTTCATGGAAGTGTCAGACTTATAGTTTTGTCCTTACTTATTAATGTGTTGTTCAGTAAGCCAGTAAATGGTTTGATCATGTGAGTGTGCTTTTCTGATGTAGATTCGCAGTGTTCTTTTGCCCCACGCTCCCTGAAGACAGTGAGATCGTCATCTTCCTACGAGCTCTTGGAATCGACTGGCCAACAGCTCCGGCAAACTGGACGAATGAAGAGCGCGAAGAGATGATCCACAAGGCACTGGAGAACTCACCGTACAGAGAGAAGGGAACAGAAAGAGGCAGGAGGACCAGCGGAGGGGGAGGGACAAAAGCAGAGGAAGTGGAGAACGAGGGCGCACTCAGAGTCAACTTGAAACGGGTTTTCCAGGAGGAGGGGCTGCTGGGATACGACCCCAGTCTCGGCACCTGCACAGGTGAGAAGACGCAGGCATTTTTGTCATGGCAAAATATTTGAAAAGCAATAACATATAGTAAAGGCACAGGGAAATGCCACTTCAAAATAGTAAAACTAGATCATCGATAAACTCACAATGTTGACAGTTGATCAACTCCGGATTTAGGTGAATTTTTCTTATCTTTTTTTCAGTTCACAGAGACAGCGTTTCCCACTTGGCACAGCTGGACCAGTCCATAGCTGACTGCACAGTAAGAAAAACAATCGCCCAGTTATCAAGTACGCAAACGCCACGCATTACAATATCCTGTCCCCTTTTCAGGTTGCCACGGTGACAGCGTTGCATGTGACTTCCTGTCAAGACGAGTTCCGTCAGCAGCAGATAGCGATGCTATGGAGGGCCAGCGGCGCGCCTCATACACAGGTGAGCAGCCACCCACCCACTCCCCTGAGGAGGTTTACGGCGCTGAGTCCCTGTTTGACCCGTTCTGCTCCCCCTGCAGAGACACCTCGTGTGTGGGCCGGTGAAAACTCCTGGCTCTCACCTCACTGCTGCGCAGTACCTGCAGTAAGACACACCCCTTTCTTTAGTCATGCCTCTGTCTCTCTCACCGCTTGTTATCTGTAGTCATTCCTGTCTTCGTCTGTAGGTCATCTATTTTTATTCTGCCCCCAGTCCCCTCTGATCTTAACCATCTTACTGCCCCCCCCCCCCCCCCTCTGTGCCACAGATGTCTATCATTACAAAGGGGGAAAAATACTAGGATGTTCTCTGCTCTAATTTTCAGTTCTGTAGAAATGACCCTAAATTAAAGGAGAATTTGGGGGCACTGATGATGGTTTTCTTGGTGACTGTGTTATTGGACAAAATCTTTAACCCGGCTATCCGTTTAAAATGACTCTTTTGTTTTTCCATCTCGTTCAGGCTTAGAAGAGGTCAGATGAAGGAGGCCTCAGAGATGAAGTACGGAGATCAAGTAGAAGGTGTGTGTTCATTTAAAAGCATTGCCCGCGTGTGTGTGTTTACATGCACGCGCAGTGCATGCGTGCCTTCTACTTAATGACAGTAACTTGTGTGAAATGAGTTATTAATGCCATTTATTTAGTCTGATGATTTGTTTAATGATTCTTTCTCTTATAGGCCAGACCTGGGACGACATCATCAAGGTGATGACCTCAGCCACGGTCAGATTTGAGCTACTGTCAACTGTCCATACGAGTCCAGTGAGTCAACATTTTATCAGTGTTTGATCTAGATGTGGCAAGAATTTGGTGCTGTGCTGCTTGTGGGGGGAAAGTAATGACTGAATGATGCAGCCTGTGTATCGTACGCATGTCAGTACAGGACCACTCCAATCAGAAAGCTTCTTCAAGCTACGGTGGTTGAATGACTGCAGCCAGAATAATTGTCAGTCTTGTATTTAGGTGACGCTGGACGTCCAGAGGGAGGGGGGCGTGTCAACCAAAGGGCCCCGTGGAGGAGTGTTTGTGATGTACAATTGCGCCAGACTGCACACTCTGTTTGACAGCTACGAGAGAGGAGTGGAGAAGGGTGAGACTTCAAATTTAATTTGTCTGCACAACAACTATACAAATTAAATTTACAGTCCTTCCGCAGCTCTTCTGTGGCTGGAAGGCTCTGTTCCATATCCACTTTGTTCAAGGTGATTGGTCTGCTGCCCCTCGGAGCCAAAATAAATTTATGTATAATAAAACCAGGCTTATCCTGGGAGAATACATTTGTTAGTTTTGACCTTAGTTCCCGACACTTTACAGTTTTCTTGATGGCAAACCAGAGTAAGTTCACAACAGACATTTTTTTTAGCTGAGACAAATTATGGCAGCAATTTGAGTTAAGAGGCTGTGGAAGAAAAGGGCCACTGGCCCACGCTTCTCAGAGTAATGTCACTTAACTGTTTTGATTCAAGGTAATTTGCATGTTTTGAAGAGGACATGAGAGCTTCAGTTCTCTATTTGAGAGCAAAGTAAAGCAGTGAGAATGCAGCCTAGACTGAAATTGATTTTAAATTGTCTGCTGCTCCTAAGTGAGGATGCGTCTTCCATCTTTGGTGGGTGATACAATGGCTTTGGAAAAGTAGAACATACGCTCAAACAACCTTACTTAAAAGTACCCCTTCAGGAGTTCAAAAAAGGGTTTAGCAACAATCTGCTATGGTACTACATCCTTATTCTTATCTTTAAAGAATGTTAAAGGTGTGCACTGTGTGGCATTCTGGGCCTTCAAATTAAAAGTAAATTTAGAAAAAAAATCATTTGTCTTTGTTTTTGCAGGTTTGTACCCAGAAATCCCAGAAGGATCCCAGTTGGACTTTTCTGCTCTGAAAGAAGAGGTGCTAATTAGTTTTTGTCTTTTTGTCTCCAACTGCTGTATATGTGTTTGTGTGTTGTGTATTTGTTGATTGTTTGTTTTGTTTGATAAATGCAAAGATTACCAGCTCACTTTTGGAGCCCTAGCAGCATTACAATGCTAACTGGGCTACTTGATCATCATGTGTTGACCGACAGGGGGAGTGGCTTCTTCTGTTCAATTACCTCATTCCCTTCTCGGAGCTGTTGGACCAATCAGGACAGGTGCTCGACTGCGAAGGAGGAGGAGCCAGAGTAAACATTAAGACTGAACAGGTATGCATAATAAATGAAAAACAGTGTCCTCTAAATGAGAGTTGTTATTGGTAAATGTGTGTGTGTAACTTAAAAATATTTGTGTCCCTTAGATCTGTAAGTTTCTGGTGTCTCTAAGTAAAGACTTCAGTTCATACTACAACAGAGTCCACGTGTTGGGGGTGAGGAATTATTGGTGTGTTTTTCAACATATAGGAGATCATCTTTGAACGTGCCATTTATATCCTCTTTCTTTCCAGGAACCGTTGCCGCATCTCTTTAATCAGATGTTTTGTCGTCTCTACCTGCTGAGAGCGTTGAGGGAGCTCTACCACAGCGCGCTTGAGACCCTTAACCTTCCCCCAATCCGGCAGCTATAGCCTAAACACAATCCTCCCATTCTTTGCAGTTAGCTTTACCGCCACCACCTGCCCCCCCCCCGTTCTCCCTTCCCAAAAAAAAAAACTTTTTCCTATGTGCTGTGTATACAAATGATCAGACTTCACACAGTCCCTGTGTTGCTTCTTCGTCAGCGTAGCTGGACACGCTGGACATTTGTATTTTAAAGACCTCAGTACCCATTAGTGGCAAGCAGGAAGAAACGTCATTATCTGCCACAGTCTTTGTTCAGTCTTATGTGGGCCAAAATCACCTTTTTCCTCTGGAAAAGTTGAGCTGTTGTTGTGTTGGTAAAGGATTAATTTGACATTTAGCTTTAGCCGAAATTAGTATAGACATGAATGTGTCTCCTTACCAGCATGATTTAAATGTTAATGATTTGATCATCGTGTCTTCTTTAGTTTTTATTTTCTCAAAATGACTCCAGAATAGGCATTAAATTGAAAAGGTTTATGTTTTTGACTGTCCAGCAGTCTCCCGCTTCCTGGTGAGTAAGTGAGTACATAAAAATGTCAAATTATTCCTTTTAATCATTACTTGCTAAACGTTTGTGTGGGGATTTCCTTATGGTGAGTATATCAGGAAAAAAAACACCAAATGGACCAATCTGCAGTGTCTACGGTAATTTAGTAGAGGTTGAGATGCTATTTCTATTCAAGCTCAACTTTAACAGATTTATGTCTTAACGAACAAAACTGAACCACCTGTTAGTGTTTCCTCTGATTTTGGTGCCAAAAATAACACTGACTGATTATGAAACTAATCTATAGCAAGATTTGTTTAACTTCATAAAACTGCCTTATGTTATGGCCCATCAACTTAATGCCACTGATGCTTTTTGACCAACAGGGATATGTTTTGGATCAAAAGAGGTCTTTTTTGCAGATGTTTAGTTTGAAACCTAAAAGGTCGAATTGCAGGGTGTTTTCACACTTAATGGATTTGATCCAGACAGTTATTGAAAGTGGTGTCATCCAGAAAAAGCAAGTCCACAGAGTGCAAAGGAACTATGTTGCCTCTTTATCTGTTTAAGACCCAGCTTTTAGGGGCGATAATGAGCAAGTACTGAATTTCTGCATGAGTTAGAAGGTGATAATTGGAAAAGACAGTTGTGTACAGAAGCTTGGACCTGTCATGTAGCTCCTGAACTGAAGTGGTGCACCAAGGAGAACCAAACTAATTTTCTGTTGAAAAATCTTCCTACACACCTCTCCTCATTAAAACACCCATAGTACGTGTCTTACTCACTGCCTAAAGAGAAAAAAAAGAAACTAGGTTACCCTGTTCATTTCACATATGTTAACAACTTTGTATTTATCAGTGCCACAAATATATTTATTGTCAGTTCAAAAATAGAGGTATGTACAGAATATATATTCTGCTTCTGAGTTTTAAATGATGTGTTAATATTAATAATCAGTCCTTCATTTAGCCACAATTATCCTGCTTGACAAATCAAAGATGTTAGTATAATAACAGTTTATAATTGATGGACAATATTGTACACTAGCAGTATTAGAGGCTTTTAGCCACAATTTTAGAAAATGCATGAAATGGAATGAAAATAATAGTTTTATGCTAAAAATCCTATTTATACACTTTTGGAGGGAAGAGATAAAGACTTAAATGCACCCTTCAGTGTCTCTACAATGTGACCTTCCATCTGTTAAAATGTGCCATAGCTTGTTTTATATGTAAGTTAAGTTCTTTTAAAGTGTCATGTCAAGATGAATCCAAACAGATGTTTTTCCCATGAATATCAAGCGATACATTCAACAAACTCTCTTTTCACTGCATGAAATGTTATTTGACCCTGTAAGTGTGAGGAACATCAATGGATGTTTTCTTTTTACTTTTGTTTACTTGAAAATAGTTAAGATGCAGATTTATTTACAGAAATGTGTTGTCTGCCAATGTGATTATAACAATATTAAAAAGGGGATATGCACAAAGAGGGACTTTCACTTTTTCCTCTCACACCACACCAGAGTTAATTTACATGTGTATCCTTTCATCCCTCAAAACCTAACCTTCCCACTCATGATTTTTTTCCTCTCTCCATCATGCTTCAACTAATATTTCCTCCTCCTACAAGCTTGACATTATATCTAGGAAATATCGAGGCAGAAATTGAAGTCATCATAGCACCCTCTTAGTATTTGTCCATATTTTCAGGCGACAGATGGACATAAAGATACTGATTTAAAGAAAAAAGATTAATCCCTCCTCATGAATACAAATGAACAGCTTAGTTTAAGATATTATTTTTCTTCTAAAGAAGAGATTTTTCTCCAGCCTATATTTTAAATATTTGAAGTCCTTTATTGTTCATAAGAATTGTAATTGTTCTACAATTGTTCTTCTAAAAATCAGACAACTATGGATTTTTTTTTTTTGTTAGCGAGACCATCTGCTGGTGTTATTAATTCTTAAACTTGTAGTATGTGAACATCCCTTGATGCTTTTTCTCATTTTTATCCTCAAATATTCCCTCTCAACATACACAGAACTGTGTAACTGTGGCTTGCAAATAATAGACAGGAATGCTACCTGGTTTTGGTGAGTAAAACAGGTGGATTCTGGTGCAGCCAAAAAGGAAACCCCAGCATTACTGTAAAATATGCTAATTTTACCTCAGTGTAGTCTGTCCATTTCTTTATTCATACAGAAATTTGCACTCAAGAAATAAAAACATGAAACATAAAAGTATTCTCTTAATAATTCAATAATAAAGGCAAAATAATTAACATCATTAATGGCGTTTCCGGGGGCGCTGAATGATCCGTTTCTGACTGTCAGCTTCCTCCAGACATAGTCATTACATTTACACATGGTCTGTGCCCACACGCTAATAATACATCTTTAAAGGGCAACCGGCTCAACGTGTCACAAAGATTCAAAGCCACTTTGTTTGTCAATCTAAAGTGCTGAGCCCTTTGGAGGTTTGCAGGGCGCAGGAGAAAAGCATTAGAACAGAATAATGAGTCAACTTTCAGAAGCGTTGGAATACACTCCTGGTATTTATCGCCCTAAATGATCGGCAATGACCAATATACGTGGATGGCTCACAGAGGAGTTTTAATGATGTGCTGCCTCTGTGACACAGCCTGTCTGTATCCCCTGGTAATGAGCCGTCAGCTGCACCCATCTCTGTTCTCAACAGCAAAGTTCACAAATTCACACAGAGGCAGCTTCTTTTGTAACGACAATGCATTTACTAAATCTAGCAAAATCTGTCATTATCAGAATATGAACTCAATAGTCCTTAAATAGATTAAGAGGATTACATTTTGATCATCCACAAAGATACCTGAATCATCTTTTAACCTATACACTTACTCATCTTCTCATCCACATCCTATTAACCATCAACCATCAGTGCACACATGCATACACATGGGTTAAGGGCTTGTGCAACTGCTATGTGTGTCTGTGTGTGAGCCAGATAAGTCACAAGACGATCATGTGCAGAATCATCTGGTTTTTGATCAAGCAGTGCTGCAGACATTCTATGACTGCATCCAATACAATTGCAACCCATTTTTTACAATTTTCCCAGCATGGAGTCTTTGACATGATTGATATGTGACATTATACGCAGTTAAGTCTGATCTAGAAGCTTTTTATAGACAAGATGCCGTCTATCTATTGACCACATGGTGGCAATGTTGACATGTCTTTATCAAACTAAATGAAATTCTTGCGGAATGAGCCTTAACCCTTGAACTCAGCAAGATATACAGCAAAACCGCTCCAGCTGAAAGGACATGTACAGCATTCTATAAGTCACACTTACAGAAAGAGTCACTTTATTTGCAGATGGTGGATGAGCAATATGGGAGGAAATGCTTTTAACATGTAAAAATGAAAGCTGCATTAATGAGTCATGTCTAATTTTATGGGGTCTAAGAAATAACATGAAAAATCTTCATCTTTTCATCCAACTGGTCACATATTTAAAAAAGGATTTTATAACAAATCTGAATTCCTGTAAGTCTGCTGGGATTACCAAAATCAAAGACGCATGAATAAATAAAATGAATAGGAGCATCAGTGTTTTTTCCTCAGTTCAGTTTTTCTGCTCTTCAGGCTGTAAAATTTCCAAGTGTGCCATTTTATACCCAAAAGCTTGTCCTTGGTTACACAATCAGTTCTTAATAGCAACAGCTGTCCTGACCGCATATCATATTTTTCTGCTTCACATGTTTCATAAGCTTTGTAAATATTCCAATGAGATGCCATAATAACTCAGCAGACAAACCACAACAATATATAAAACAGAAGTTCCACAAACTATTTTATAAATAAAAAAACATAGAATAATTTAATGCTTGCCACCCTGGAAAGCTATGAACTGCTGCCCTCTGAATTGACATCTCTGCTGTTCACAAAAAGTTTCTGTTCAACCTGTGTGCCAACTGGGTGTAAACCTGTATGTTCAGAAAAGTATCCACACGTGTAAAAACAGTCAAAACAATAATTCAGTTAAACTATGCCTGGTATGACAAAGAAAGAACAAAAAAGCAAATAAAATGAAAATCTTAGTGTGGTGTGAGCAGAATAAGGAGTCCACTGTCCTTTCCATCCCCCTCACCACCAATAAGAGAGCCTCTTTTACAAGACCCCTGCTTGCTTGTCAATCACTCCCCTCGGGTTATAGGTTGGAATGAGACAAAAGAAGGAGGTGAGCGATAGAAAAGGAAAAGAGGTTGAGGGGGTGGACTAGAAAACATGGGGATGGGATGCCAGAGAGAGCGGATCTTGTATAGTAATCACTGAAAGAAGACCTACCATCTTGAAGAGAGATGAATGAATGGGGTCAGGGACGCCCATGAGAGTAAAGATGGAGCATCAGTGAAGGAGAGGGGGATGGATGGAGGGAGAGAAAGAAGGGATAACAGAAGGTGGGATGGAGGAAATGCACAAGGAGGAAATGGGTTGAGCATCAGATGGGAGAAATGGGGAGGAACCCATAAAATGAGGAAATTAAAAACTAATTTGTGAAAAAGTGTAACGGGCAGTAGGAGGAGCCTGGAGGATTAAAAGAAAGACATCTGAGAAAGTAAGGACGGATGAAAAAAAGGAAGAACAAGAATTAGATAGAAAAGGACTTTAAAAGCTTTGGGTTTTCAATACTGAAGAGCAAAGTTTTTACTCTACTAGAGACATAAGACATAAGTGAAGGATAACTGTATGTGGTCGTTGGCTCGTTGGTTACCATTTCTTGAATTTGAAAAATGTTCAAAATGTTCATATTGTTCACAGTGGGCAAACACAGCTTTTACACATTATGATATAAACTGCCATGCAATTATTCAGATTAGTTTATTCTAACAATTTTAGTAATTTCAATTATTCATTTATTTCCAAAACGATTTTTATAAACGGGCTGTGTTTTTTCCATTTTAAGTTTTAAAAAAAATTAAATCATTGAATGTTTTAACGTTTCCTCGTAGGATTTTTAGAAATGCTTTATGTCCACCTCAACTATGTGGAGCTCTAAATGAAAGTCCATGAAAGGGATTTAGAAGGTTCCCCTGTTCCTTTAGGAGTTTTCATGTTCCTCATGTGTCTGTGTGGCTTTTGTTGGGGGGGCTCAGGATTCCTCCCACAGTCCACAGATGTACATGTTCAGGAAAAAAATCCGGATGCACAACAAAAAACCTGTGCTCAGCTTTTTCAGGAACAGGCAGAGTTAGAAGTGTTCATTAATATTTATTTTCCTTATCCGGGGAAGATACAGACACACAGAAGGCAGGGGTCTAAATAATTTTTGGGAAAAGTGGCTGTTTTTTTTATTTATTTCAATCCCAGAGCTGTGTGTGAAACTAGAACTTAGTATGTTCGTGTTTTTGTGTGTGTGGTAACCCTACACGCTCACTCGAGGTAGTGGCGAGCAAGACGGAAGAAAAAATAAATAAAGTAAGAGGCTGTGGAACTTTAATACTCTTTTATCTCCACAAGCAGCTAACAGGTTTATCTTCTTTCTCCAAGCGAGGAGAGGCGCAGTGAGGTGTAGCGTCTGCCTCATGTAGGCCTCTGACACATCAACAGATTTAACACTCTTCTTAAGACAGTGTGCTGCTCATATCTTTTCAGTAAGGAAGCTAAGGCTCTATTTTTAAAAGTTTTCATCCTCCACAAGGCTAGGACTTCCTCCCTGACTCAGCAGGAAGGCTCAGAGAGCAGAAACGGAGGAGGACCATGGGAACATGAAGGCAGTCAGGTAGGTGATGAACAGCCTCGGCTTTGGTGGGTCAAGAAACTTCAAATAAATGTTCTTGATCTTGACCATCACCCTTCATGGCAATGGTCAACTCCTAAATTCCCAATGACATCAAATGCAAGTTTTGAACTTAACATAAAAATATTAAAAATAAAAAAACAATGTCTCGGGGTGGAAAACAAAAAAAGGCATAATAATAGGATACGCATCATCTCATTGCAGGAAGTTAATAGATTAAGTAATTTCTAATGTGTGCAATAACATCCTTCACTGAGTATATACAGAAGCAAATTGCAGTGTTTGTATGACTGAATAACTTCTTCTTAAATATTGTCAGACAGCTTCACGCTTCATTCTTGCTTCCTCTCCCATGCTGAACACGGGAGAGCAGCAGTGGCCAGAAAAGATTCCATCATTGCACATCAAGTCATTTTATACGTTCTTATAATGCTTTCTTATAGATTTGTGTGCCACTTGACTCACCACATCTTTAGGAAATAATGCCCCAGCCTGCAATGTGGCCCGAACCCGAACCATTTGACTTGTTATCTGAACGATATGACATGTGAAAAGCTTAAAATGCGTATAAATGAAATGCAAAAAGTGCAGCAAACAGCATGCTTTTCAAACAAATTTCCATTAAAACATGTGAATGGTTTGGCCAAACTGCAACCATAACTCGGCTCAGCATGAAACCATGCTCAGTAAGTTTCACATTTCCA